CCCGCCATAATCGCTGAGCTTTCTGTTTTACTCTATGGATATGATGTCTGATTTTTTTCCTTTGTAGAACACCATGAGAAAAGTGGGAATATGAAGACATTTTGGAGCTGATGTTTGTCACCTGTGAAATTGAGCTAATAATTTTGTGTTCCATTTTTTCCTTACTTTTCAGTGGAGAGAATGTTATTGGCTATTAGAAAACACTGAGGGAACATTTGCAAAAATATCAGCTTAATGAAAGTTGAAATGAAACAAGAATGATGGATTTGATGATGATCTGGTGTTCTCAGTATCACTGAGCTTCATAATTTTGGGATTGAAATATCTTATCACTCTGTGGTCCAAATAATTGTCCTGATTATTTTTTGAGAAGAGATTCTTTTTTTGTGTGTGTGTGATTATGTAAAGATATACCTACTTGGCAGGAAGAGAGATTTCAAGGTAAAAGGTAGCTTTTTAGGAAGGGAAGTTAGGGGGTTATTTTGCAGTGGAGTCTGTTAGGTACGTGGTGTCTTGAGCTTCCTGTGTACTTAATGGACCAGGAAGCCCTTGCAATGCTCAATGGCTAATGACCTCTGTCGTATCGTGAGTGCTCTTTGATTCCGTGTTGTGCTGACCCTAGAATACTCCTCATAGTTTGCTTCTTGCCACACCCTCTGAGACAGGTATTTCAATTTCCTGAGAGAGGACAGGTGGAGTTGGGGCTGCAGCCAGACCTATCTGTCACCAGCAGGCTTACTTGCCTCCTTGGACCCTGGACAAGTCCCACTCTTCAAAGTCTTTTTCATTTCCCCAGTTCTATGCATTTCAGACAAACCTGTCTCATCCCTCAGAACTACTTTAAAATTGAGCAGATAATTCTATCATTAGAGGGTCCCAGCTGAACAAGGCCAAGGTCATCCTAGACATAAATGCAGGCCATGGAATGAGATGGGAAAAAGTTGTTGGTTGCAATATGTTTCAAGAGACCTTAGAGATTTTTATATGTTACTTTTTTTTTTTTTTCCCCTCCGAAGAAGGTCCTGCGCTTCTGAAATAGCTAAATGTCAGGACTGAAACACACTCAGATTTGGAGTATGAGAAGAAACCCAGCAGTGTGTGTCAATCTCTTTTGTCTGCTTTAAAATTGTCCTCAGTAATCACCTTACCAGGGTTTGGAGCCCATCATTTCAGAGAGGGTTAGGTTCATCTTTTTCTGATCCATCTTTTCCTTAGGCTAAAAGCACAGGAGAAGAAAAGACCAAACCCATTTTAATATTTAAATCCACAGATCCAGAGCCCAGAATTTTAGGAAATCAGTTGGTGGGGAGAAGGGAGAGACAGAGTCAATAAATGTCACATGGGCGATTCTGTTATGATGATAGAAACCACACATAAGCTTCTTTGTTGTCCATTTTTAAATGGTGCATCGGGCAGTACAACTGTCCAGTGCTGCTCTCCGCTGTGCTCTGTTAACTAGCTGCTGTAGCGAGGAATTAAACCTTCCGTCGTCTGTTGGATGCAAGGCCAGATTTTATTAAACTGGGTCATCAGGGCATACACACAGGAAGCTGGGTCACACTGGCACTGTGTCATCTTTGGTGAGTGAATGGGTAAACATGCCAGCACACAAACAAAATGACTTCACTCGTACTAGTAGAAGCGGCTAGCAGGTACCTGGATGGGGTGTGATATTTGAGCATATGTCCTGTTGGTGATGAATTACATCAGGAACCTTGGGAGCGTTCTTGTGATACTCGCATGTCAAAGAAGTTCCTTGCATTTGAAATTATCACAGAAGTTCCAGAATTATAAATGAATGGGTTATTATTTAAGTGTTTTACAATTTATTGCTTCAACTTGCACATTTTTAATACAAGATGGATTCCCCTCTGCCTCCTTTTAGAAACATGGGGAGCCTGAGCCGACACCAGCTGCTTGGCAGTGGTTTCCTGGGGCAGAAGCTTGGGATTTTGCACAGGGAGATCAGTTGGAGATCCGTTTATAGTTTTGCTTTTGAAGGTTTAGCTTGGTTCTATCTAGTGATAGGAAAATGAACCAAATGACTTTTTAAAAAATGGCTTTTTTTAAGATCTGCTTTTGCCTGAAAAGGATTTTGTATTTAATTCTTTATCGTATTTATATAGTGGGTTGTTGTGCTTAGCATACTGATTTTTTTAAATGCTCTGAGTGCGTGTGTGAGAGATTTATGTTAAGCTTCTAATATAGGGATGTATCTTGTAGATGCCGAGAGAAAAAAATTATTTTGCTTTTATGGAGCTGGGGATGGAACCCACAGTCTTGCCATCCTAGGTAGGTGCTCTACCACTAAGCTACATCCCCAGCACCGAGAGAGCTTTTTTCAGAAGTAGCTGTGGAGCCCTTGTGGCTTGGGGAGCAGGGCTGTCACCTGGCAAAGGATGTAGCATTCTCTGATCTCACTCTTGTACGCTACAGTCACTGGGTTGCAAGCTTTATGAGGGCAGGGATTTTTGCTAACATTTTACTAGCACTTTGATCAATGAATGCATGAAATGTTTTGGGCACTCGGGAAATAGTTTCTGGGCTCTGGCATTTTGTGGTGTTTGACCTTGCTTATGTTACAGTTTCTTTACCTTAAAATGGGATGGCAGTTTCTCTACCTTAAAATGGGATGGCAGTTTCTCTGTATTATCATGGAGCATTACTATAGTTTCATAGATCTCTGAGGATCCCATGAGATTACAAGGGAGAACCCCCAGTAATAATACAACGCTTCCTGATGCAAAGTAAATGCCACTTTTCCCTTCTGAATGAAGCCAAGTTTAAGTCTCCTTTA